AGAGGCTGCCGGTGAGTGGGGCCCGGTCGGGACATCCCCCTCCCCTCTCCCGGCTCCGCCGCGGAACATTCCCGAGTCGCTTAAACTGCTGCTCTCCCTGGCTTTCAGATCGACGTGCAGCTGAACATCATGTCCTTCCTCTCGCCCCAAGATCTGTGCCACCTGGGAAGCACGAGTAGTTACTGGAGGGCGGCGGTGCGGGACCCGTTGTTGTGGAGGTATTTTCTCCTGCGGGATCTCCCCCTCTGGGCGTCTGTTGATTGGAAGTCGCTCCCAGATGTGGAGGTTTTTAATAAAGCCTTTTCAGAGGCCAGCGATGAGGCATTGTATGATTACATGGCAGTGTAAGTATCTTCGTGTTCCCTTACATGACTTTCAGTCTCTCTTCAGAAGTAATACTCAGCCCACAGGCATGTTTCATGTATACAGCAATAAAGCTCTGCTGTAATCTCCTGTTTAAATTTTGGTCTTTTATCAAATCCATTGTTTATTTTGGAAATACAGTTTCCTGCTGTTCGATGGTCTGGTCAGCTCTTTCTGTTTGTAGCTCAGCAGGAATGTAAGACATGGTAAAAAAAGAGCTAATTAAAGCTGTTCATAAACTATGCTTTGCTATGCCACAGAAATACAGTCATCTCAAAAACTCTGCATACTGTTGATAAGAAGTGTTCTTTGCTCTCAGTACAATGGCAAGTGATTTCTTCTTTAATAAAAGTACTAAGAAGTTTTCAAACTACAGCAAGTGGAATGAATCTTTATTTTTTTCATCTTACATGGAAGACCTAATAATAAAAAAAGTTTTTTTGAATGTGCACAGAAGAACAAGTAGTATTGCTTTAGCTCTGATTGTTGAAGGCTGTAAACGACTGGTTTCAAATAGTATAGTTGACAAGAATAGCAACACTCACAATGTGTTTAGATGACTGACAAGAACTTCTCAAACAAGCAGATTATTTTGTGGGAATTTTTTTTTTACTTCATTCAATTCCATTGATTAATTTGTAGTAGTGGTTCATGGGTTTGGTTGGGGTTTTTTATTTATTTGCAGTTAAATTTTCCAAAGGTGATGCTTAACGTGTTTTTTCACATTAGATGGACTAGCTTCTGCAATCTCTGTGCCCTTCAGCCCCACTTTACAGACAGGAACAATGAACCCAGAATTAGAACTGCAAAATATATACTGATTTTGAAATTGGATTTAAATCTCTTCAGGTCTGAATACTTCAGAGCATCACCTGTTTGAAACCACCTCCCACTGATTTCAGTTGTGTCTGTGTGCACTTAGTGGTTCTGCTGATCTCAATGAAGTATCTCAGTGTAGGTGTAGAAGAGCACACATTTGTTGTTTTTATACAAGAACTTAAGACTGATCCTTTATACGATCACGTCACATGGTGTAAATTTAATTTAGAAGTGGTTTGTCCAGCAACAGCCTACCACGACTGCAGAAGCAGACTGAAGCTGCTACTCTAGGATATCTGTCTTACAGTTACTCTTCCCCTTGGTTACCAAAGTCTTTTCATGCTTTCTAGCTTGTGCACCAAGCGAGCACATAAGCTTGCAGACAACATTCATCTTTCACAGCATGCATGCTCTGTACCTGCAGGGGACATGGTCCATTTCAGGTGGTTACCTGTTTCAAGCACAGATGCAGTCTAATTAAAGTTTGAAATGGACTCACCAGTCTCATTTTCCTAATTTTATTTTTTTATGTGACTCATCTGCTTTGTTAATATTTTATCTATATTGTGTGTTCAGTGAGGGTGGGGGAATGTGTAATTTTATTTTATTTTAATTTATTTTATTTTATTTTAAATAAACTGAATGATCTATAGATAGCAACATAACAAGGTCCAAAAAGTCAGTATTTGGACTTCAAAAGAACAGATGTCTTTGCCTGCTTTGTACTGGTGTTTGAAAGCATCAGTTTGGAACTCTATAATTTTTGACCTATGCTTTCTGAGTTGAACCAGTAGCAAACCATAAGAAGTGTGGGACCTAAGTCAATTTATGTTGTTTGATTAATACCTCTTCTGTATCTTGTGTTTAATTTCTAGTTGCATCTATTTCACACAGATACAAAAAGAGCTGTCCTCAGGGTAGAAGAAGTTTGAGATCAAGCCGACCCCGGTATGGGGCTGTGACTTCCTTTCTGCAATCACTGGTCACTCAGGCGGAACCTCGGTTTGCCATGTTTGGGCCGGGTTTGGAAGAGCTGGACAACTCGTTAGTGCAAAAGATGATGACGTGCCCAGAAATTCTGGTAGTAGCTGGCCTACCTCATAGACAAATTCATGGTAATGATGGTTCTGGCTTTTGGCCTTTACATTTTGTGAACAAATATAACACAAAAAAACATGGTTGGAGAAACAGAGAAAAAGGATGGGTTTTTTTGTCCCCATAAAAGTCAGTAACATCATGGAAAAAAACCATTTTCTTTCTTTGTATTCATTCAGAAGGATAAATGCAGTGAACATTTGGGACAAACTAATAGCTGCAGTGAATTTATGACTAAATTTGCACAATGTCAGAAGGATCATTTTGCTCCTCGTACTTATTTCATCCAAAATTCCATGTTACAGCTCTTGTTGTAATGGATAAATGCAGACAGAACTTTGTTTAGGTACTACTGCTTGCAGTGAAGGGTTAAAAACATATTTTTGTTTTTATACAAGAACTCAAGACTGATCCTTTACATGATTATGTCAAATGGTGTAAATTTCATTTAGAAGAGTTACAGGAGCAGGTGAAGGATTTTTTTGGTGTGTAAAAGAATAACTTTGAACATCTGTAATTCCACTTCAGTCCAAACCAGAGAGAAAAATGTATTACTTTTTAACTAATGTTTATTTCAGCACCTCAGAATTAGAATAATTAAACTGTATTTGTAGGAAGTGTGAAAATTATTTTTTAGTGGTATTTTTTTTTTAATTTCTCTCCATCCTTTTCAATGCAGCTTGTCTTTAACAGACTAGAGCTTTTGCTATGACAATTTCAGCTAGTAAACACAAGTCTGCCTCCTTTCTGATTTGGGTTTCAAGGTTCAAGTCTAATTATCAGAAATATGGAAATGCCTCATTTTTTTTTAATATAATTGAATTGATTTTCATTAAATTAATAGTCTGACCAATTACGGCATGTGTAAAATTTAATTGTAAGATAGTAAATCTGCTACCCCTAGCAGCAATATCTAGACTTGAATATATCCATTTTATAGCACCACTGGAATATTCAGACTACTACTTAATTATATTCAGTAGCCAAGTAGTTGTAATCTCATATATTCATTTTTTCCCCTGTAGGAATTGGATCAGGAGTCAGTTTTCAGTTTAATAACAGTCAAAAATTCAATATTCTGACATTGTACTCCACCACCAGGTAAAATAAGATTTGGTACAGTTTCTCATTCATTTCATACCTTCCTCATCTTTTTGTCATGTGACTTCTATATGTGCATTCACATGCATCAAAATTCCCTATAAATTGAAGCATCAATATCTTTGCATTTCCTTTCTTTTTTTCAGTTGCTGAGTTTTCACATGGAAGTGATAAACCTTTTCCAAGCCTCTTACATACCTACAGTACGGGTGCTTCAATCCCTCTTGAAACCTTGGTTGATTCCCTTTTGCAACACTATATAAACTCGTCCTGGGGTGTATTTTCATTTGCAGATTGCTAGCCATCTCTATATGAACACCAGGAAAGAAGGCGGGGCGGGAAGGAGCAAAATGGTTTTGCTGGTTCATACCATTTTCTTGTCCCTTTCCTCTGCTACCTAGACTCTCAGAAAAGTACATCCAAGTTTTGCTTTCTCAGTTAACCTGACTACTGAAATATTGAAATATCTTCCAGTGTGGAAAGGAGGAGAGCAAGGACAGAGCAAGCTGTTGCTGTGAATAAGATGTTTTACCAAGAGAACAGCACAGAAGGGAATCAGCAAGCCGTGCACTACAGTGTAATAGATCAAGTGAAGAAAGTGTGCGAAGTAGTTGATGGATTCATTTATGTTGCTAATGCAGAAGCTCATAAAAGTAAGGGCTTTATCTTTATTTATTCATACTTTGAGAATAATTGGAATGTTATAAAAATTACAAAGAATATACAGTACATCAAAATCCACGTTCTCATCCCTTCAAAATCTGCTTTATTAGTGCTATTTCTTCATGGCTTATCCTGTGGAAGAGGTCCCCTATCCTAGACACTTTCTCATCAACCTTTGAGGGGTTATGGCTCCTTCTTTTGTTTGGGGCACATACTGATACGATTGCTATCTAAATTACATATTGGAAATCATCTGGATTAAAAAACAACATAAACAAAACCCTTGGCCATTTGCAGGAGAAGCCTGAAGTACACTGTTTGTGGTGTAATAGTCTGGAAACAGAACTTTCACCAGGAAAACTTCAGTAGAAGATGCAATTAGTCTAAATTAGTATAGTCCTGTAAGAGAATAGTCCAAATATTACTGTAACTGTCTTTACATTCATCAGCTTTAAATGGAGAGAAAGGACTAATTCAGAAAAGAAGTGGGTAAAAAAAAATGTGAAGGGATATACTAAGGAGAAAAGTACATCCAAGTAGGGAAGAGCTGCTGACTGTACAGTATGTGAGTATGTCTGAATGGCTTGTTGCAGTTTTGATCTGTGTAAGGTACTAGGAAAACACTGATGTTAAAGACTGAAATAGGTTGCCTGTAGAATCTATGGAGACCTTAAATAACATCTAAACATGACATTAATATTTGTGTGACATGAGTGCAGGTGAATCAGTCTTGTGATAGGCAGAACTAGATCATTTCACCCTTCCAGCCCTCTATTTCGTCACCTCTGAAATAAAAAAAGAAATTAAAAAAACCCTCTGAAATAACAGCAAAATGCTTCCTTGGATTTGCATGTATTTAAGACTCATATGTTAAAAATTGTTTCTCAGAGCATGATCGTCAGGAGGAACGGGCTCGTATTTTGGCCATGATTGATCCAGCCCTTGGGCCTCCGAACAGACCTCTGCTGGTTTTGTCCTGTGTCTCTCACATTGGTGTGGAAAGAATTCCATGTGTTTATGTGGCACATCAGTTGCAACTAAATCTGCTACGTCAGCCCTGGATGGTACTTGCATTTAAAACTTTATTCCCTGTTTCTCTTTTGACTTACATTCAGTTTAGGCTTTCAGGCTCCTGAACCACTCCTACCTAAGCAAGTATGCGGCTTTTAACACTAGCACATGAGCCCTCCATTTAAGTGAGGGATTTAGTTTCTCTGGTCCTCTAAGCTGAATCATTTTTTGTCTGAGAATAGGGAGTTCAGTGGCTTCTCCAGGAATACACAAGAGACTTCAGAATGTAAGGAAGGACAAATGCTGGTCTTGAAGGGAGTAAGGAAGCTTCAGTTAATTTAAATCTAAATTACTTGAGTCATAACCCAAGGCCTTGGACACAAGATAGATTTTTGGGCCATTTTTAGGAGACACTTGCTCGCTTGATGTGATGTGTTGAAGTTTTTGAGAAATGAGTTTTTTACCTAGGATGTGAGGTCCTGAACCTGGTTTTTTTATGCTTGTCAAATACAGTATATATTAGCATCATTCAGCCACATATAATTAATTTTTGTTAATGTTGTGTAGCTGAAGAATAATAAAACCAGAAAAAAACTAAATTTTGATTTGAGATAATTCCTTTGTTTTCATAAGGAAAATGTTTACAGGCTTTTAAAAACCCAAACCGTTTGTAATAACCACTTGATAAAAGTTACAAAATCCAAATAGTAATAATATGCGTAGAAGTCTAGAGCTAGCAGCATTTTTGCTTTAAGAGTTACAAGAAGAATTTTCAAGTACATTGTCATCTATAAATTAAGAACAGTGTTCCAGAATAGCTGATGGAATGATTGAGAAAAAACACACATTGGTACCAAGAGTGAAAGCTTTTCTGACGGGTCTTAATGTGGTTTTTTTTTGTTTGCTTACTCTTATGAAGCCTTTTTTATCTAAGGGACCTTTAGACCAATAATAAAAATTTAGATTTTATATGGTTGTTTCTGACTTCATGGATGGACATGGAGTGATGTTAAAATACTGTTAGATCCTGTTACCTGATATCTCTAATACATTAGCTTCTTTTTTATTTTCACAGGTGCAGGACACTGTAGCTGCAACTTTAGATGGTTTGCTAAATGGAATTGAGTGGCTCTTGGAAGAAGCAAATTGTAAAAATGCACAGTAATGGAATTGTGTATTGTTGTACTGTGTAAACCCTTTGGCATTTTGCATTTCATTTAGCGAGAGTCTTGTCCTTCCTGCAGGGGCGCTGTGAGAAGGAAAATTTAAAAGACAAACCTGCATATATATCACTGCACGTACTTAACATTCTTCCAACTACAGTCCTGAATTAGAAGTACAAGTAGGATTGCTTGGATTCCAGCAGCTGCTGACAGTAATTGGGCGGGTCGGTTTGGGTGTTTTGGTTGTTTTCCTTCTTTCAGCGGGGAGCCTTCAGTACAGTCTTCTCAGTATATCTGATTGTCTATTCTCTTCAGTAAATACATGTAACACTACATTAGTTTATCAGCACAGCTCTGTGACAGGCACAACAGTGCCTGTCACAGGCACCACAATGTTCAGTCAACATTTTCAGTGGAGATCTTGACAGGGACAGTTCCCAACCAAAGAAAATATACTGTACTTGGTACAGTAGTAGGCTGACAGAAAGAATTCCCCTGCAAAAAACAGACAAAAAATAGCAGAAGAAATGTCAGTCAGACCAAAATTCTTAGAAGCAAACAAGCAAACTGCCATGTATGAATTGTTGTTTCTTATTTGTGATCCTGTTTATTAACCAACCACGATAGACTTCAGCATCTTTCTCTTTCTGTTGAAATTATTAGCTTCAACTGCACATACCTCTGATGTAATGAACAGATGTTAAATAGAATCATTAGTACTTCAGAACTTTATCAAATACATAAACTATCAGTTACTGAAATAGTTGTGGCCATTTCCAGGTATGAATTGTACCTGTCTTTGAAATTTTCTACACAGTTGCAAATGTTTTTATAAAAAGGGAAGTAACGTTTTAAAACTGGAATTGCATTTTCCCTATAGATGTTTGAGATAGTTTTTTGTGTTTTTATTATTGGATGAATGTACAGAAACTTCCCTTGGATTTTTTTGCCTGTGCACTTATTTACTTTCTGTGCTTCTTGCTTGTTTTCCTCTCTCCATGGAAATTCAACAATCTCACAACTTCTCTTTGGAATGTAGATAAATGATTGCATGGTGCACATACAGTGCACTGCCCTTTGTGTGGGAAGTGCCCATGGTGCACATACAGGTGCACTGCCCTTTGTGTGGGAAGTGTGAGTGATGCTCAACACAGCTGTGTCAGAAATACTCCATTTGAGAAAATGGTTGGATTTTTTTTAATGACCTAGAAAATGTCTTTTTTTAAATCTTTATGCGCAATTAATTCAGCTTTCTAAATGCTTTTGGACATATGGGAGTTTCAAGGGAAAATCCATAGGAAGATATACTGTGAAAATTCTGTGGTTTATCCCTCTTTTTTTTAATACTGTATGCGTGTTTTGCCCTTTAAAATAGAGCAGATGCAATAGATTCATGAGTATTTAGGGTAAAATTCCATGCCTTGTGACTGAATGTGTGTGACTTTCTTTCTAGTCCTAATAATTTTATAGTGATCTCTAAGTAGAGGGTCGAATGCAGCAACCTGATGCTACGTCAGCTACAGATATGGGGGGTTTATGTAAGATCATCATTCTACTTTCTTCACAAGGAATAAATTATTTTTTAAAGAAATCATTCTACTTTCTTCACAAGGAATAAATTATTTTTTAAAGAATGATGTTTACAGTCTTTCTATGTGTGTTAAGCCCTCCACATGTGTACAATGCGTGCACACACACTGCAGTCATGCTGTCACAACATAATAAATTAGCATTGCTATCATAATGAAAAAGGTTATTTTATGTTGCCAGTTTAATTAACAGATATTCACTCACTATCCTGTCAAAAGGTCAGGATAACATAGGGTATATAATTTTTTTTAATCTAAAGAACATTAGTTACATTAACCTAAAGACAGAATAACTTCAAGAATTATAAGTTTTAAGGGTGCAGTCTAGAAAACAAACAGTGGGAATGAGAAGTCCATACAGTCACAGATCTGTATAATTGAGTGCCGTGGTGGATCAGTACAGGCAAGGAAGATGACTGTGTACACAGTCCAAAAGAGCACTGAGATGCACAGAGGTGTGCTATGGAGAGGCAGCCAGCCTGCTGAGCGTACATACACCAATTAGTTGCAGAGACGTACTCCATTTTTAATTTAGCACTATCTTTTGTCTTTAAACTAAACCAGTTTCTACTATTTAAATTTTTGAGTCTGATGAATTTAGAAGCATAGTTAGTCAGTTAAGCTTGGGACTTATATTGTTAAAAATTCAAAAATAGTTTGATGTGGAATCATGACATCAATGTATTTTAAAACTTTTTAATGTAAAACTCTTTTTTTTTTTTTTTAATCTAATTGGCCTTGTATTTATCACAGTAGAAGCAACTGTGATGGGTTTGTGAGAAATAAAATCATCTGGATCTCAGAAATCTTGCTCTCCTTGGCATGAAGGATTCTAAGAGTGCTAGGAAGAAAATTGCTTTCCTGCCCCCTGAGACAGGATGTTTACATAAACAGTGGTCACAAAATAAAAGGTTAAAATGGCAATACACGTGATGGATAAGAAAACTTGGTTAGTGAGGCTTCACCTGAACAGCTTTCCCAAAAAGAAGCTGGCTGTGGGGATGCTGATTTTCAACATGACTTTCAAAGACAGGGGACATGCTGCCTCTTCTTTTAATCTTGTGGCTATTGTCAGTATCAATTTGTATGGTAGCATGAATATCACAGCTAAAGAGAAAAGCTGGAGTCGCTGTCAAGAAGATGTATGGAAATAGTTGCCGGCATTATTGCAAGATGATTGATGCTTTAATCTGTTATTTAGTGTGTCTTTCATGCCATTTTAGCACTAGTGGTTCTGGGTAAATTACTTTCCTGAAATACAAGAAGAGAGAAATAAGATTCTTCTGTCAGTTATAGAAGGTGATACTATTGCTAGAGCTTGTGCTTAAATTTCAGACCCAGAGGATGTTTACACACAGGCTGCTCTCAGTTTTCCCTGAGGAGGATGAAACTGCAAATCAAGAGCCTTGAATTAACTTTGAGTAAAACTTACTACATCATTCCAAACAATTAAAAACCAAGAGGCTTTTTGTTCCTTTTTCTTCCCTCGCAGGCAGATATCTAGTGTGTGTGTTAATTCTGGCTGTTATAATATTGTTTGCAATAAGGTAAGGATACTAATAAAATGAACTGAAAGACAAGAGGGAGAAAATAAATTAGACAACTTTTCTCATGATGGAGGAAGAACTAAAGGAATATCCTACCTACAGCAGGATGTTTGTGTGGTTTGGATTTTGTTATTCTGCTATTTTGCTCTGAGCTTTTAGGCATGGAGGTGCCCTGCAGCATTATTAATGGGAAACAAAATGCATACAGATGTCAGCAAGAGGCCTGGTAGCATTCTGCCTTCTCAAGAGGACCCTCCTTTTTTTATGTCTTTGGATCTGTAATGAAACTCTTTACATGGATGTCAAAAGTCAATGTACCAGGAGTCCAGTCCTGTTTAATATCTTTATTGATGATCTGTACAAGGGGATTGAGTGAACCCTTAGTCAGTTTGTAGATGACACCAAATTGGGCATGATCTGCTGGAGGAAGGTAGGAAGGCTCTGCAGAGGGATATGGACAGGCTGGATCAACGGGCTGAGGCCAAGGGTATGAGGTTCAACAAGGCCAAATGCTGGGTCCTGCCCTTGGGTCACAACAACCCGAGGCAGTGCTACAGGCTGGGGGAGAGTGGCTGGAAAGTAGCCCAGTAGAAAAGGACCTGGAGGTTCTGGTTGACAGCAGCTGAACATGAGCCAACAGTGTGGAATATACTCTTGCCCAGTACAGGGGGACAATCACTGCCCTGGTCCTGCTGGCTCTGGATTTTTGATCCAAGCCAGGATACCTTTGGCAGTGATTGTCCTCCTGTACTCGGCACCATTGAGTTAGCATCTCAAAACCTGTGTTCAGTTTTAGGCTCCCTACCCCAAGGAAGACATTGAGGTCCTGGGCCAAGTCCAGAGAAGGTTTGTTGGAGGAGAAGATTCAGAATGGGAGAGATTTCAAGCATGGAGAAGGATTTATGATCCCTGAATGAACAGTACATTGCTGAAATGGACACTTTTACACCGGATTAGACGCTCATTGGACTTGACAGTTTTACCCCAGTTATCCCCAGTTTATTGTTGTACTGTTATAGTGTCGTATGTACCCCAGCTTGTTTTTTAAATCATATCCTCCATATTGTCCCCTTCTCCTCTCACAGTTTTCCCACCTAAACTTGTTTACTCCCTTGTTCTCCCCTGCTTTCCCGCTCCTCTGCATCTGATTGGCCACAGTTTGCTGCAGTGCAGAGAGAGCTCCCATTGGCCCTTTCCCCCGGAGACCCAAAGTTGCCACCCATCTATTCCTGTTCCCCCAGTTACTGCCTCCCCTGAGTTGCCTGTCTTTTACTCCTCCCTCAGCCTGAGTCCACCCCCTGAACCTACCCTATTTAAGTCACAGTCGCTCTTGATAAAGTTGGCATTGCTTCACCGACCTCAACTGTGTCCTGAACCCTAATTGTAGTGCCCGGTCCCATTACCATCTACCCCCACGAGCCGTGGCAAAGGTCAGCAGAGCTGGCCAAGGATCTAGAGACTAAGTCATATGAAGAACAGCTGAGGGAGCTGGGATGGTTTAGCCTGGAGAAGAGGAGGCCCAGGGGAGACCTTACTGCTCTATACAATCATCTGAAAGGAGTTTGTAGCCAGGTGGGGTTCAGCCTCTTCTCCCAGACAACTGGCAACAGGACAAGAGGACAAAGCCTTAAGCTGTGCCAGGCAGGTTCAGGTTGGACATTAGGAAGAATTTCTTCATTGAAAGGATTGTCAAGCATTACAATGGGCTGCCCAGGGAGGTTGTGGTGTCATCATCCCTGGAGCTGTTCAAGAAATGACTGGATGTGGCACTTAGTGCCATGGTTCTAGTTGACAGGGTGGTGATCTATCAAAGGCTGAACTAAAGATCTTAGAGGTCTTTTCCAACATATATGAATCTATGATTCTATGATTTTATAAGAATTGTTGTTACTGATTTTATGTGCATCATTAAATATTTCCTCTACATATTTTCATTCTAGCTGTCACTAATATACCCATGTCCCTCAACAAATAAGGAACTGTGATGGATGACTGTGAAATCTAGTTATTCGAGAAGAACACTCAGTATTTCAGTCCTGAGTCTTAACCAAATCACACCTGCTTCAAATTCAGCATATTATATCGGAACACTGCAACAATAATCACCTGTAATTTAATACCAATATTGTGAATAGGCTACCTGACTGCTGACAGTTCTGTAAAGTCCATTCACACACCAGTTTCCTGAGCCACAAATACACCAAACAAACTTAATAATCTTAACAATATAAATCCACCAATAATCACCTCAATCTATTTCTGGAGGTCTTCATTGACAGTAGGATGAAAAAGAAAGGGATCAAATGGAAAACAGGGGAGTTAGCTTTAAGGTAGGTAAGATAGATAGTTGAGGTGCTGAGGCCTGAACAACAGGCCCTGAGCCAAAGTTTACCTCTAGATGAACCTTTCAAACTAACGTTATATTTAGCCATGTATCCACTCATTAGAAAAATTATGTATGCTTCTCAGTAAAATATGTAGTATGATAAGACTGCATGTGTGTAAATATGTATGCTTATTAGTAAGATATATTTGTATATGCTCATTAGTGAATAATAATTGTATCTGTTCATTATTAAATATGTATGACTCAGTGAAATATGAATGTATTTATCTTTCTGTATTTCGAGTGCCATGGAATTAGATGTCTGGCCATGTTTGGTGACAGATTGTCAAAGCTTGGTCTTCCCCTGAGCCCTGGCCAGGCTTTGTGTGAAACACAAAGGAGAGAAGGAAGCCAGATATTTTTCTGCACTAGTGATTATGTAAGCTTGGTTTGTTTAACAATACAAAAGCTGGACCTTTCACAGCAATGATGGAGACCTCACTATGAGTGGACACACTGAGTAGGATTTCCCAGTTACTGAGAAGGGTTCTCTGACCCTTTGCTGCAACCGGGGCTCCCCAGCTGATGTGTGGGTCTGGATGCTGATT